AATTTTTTTAATATAAAATATAAAATTCTTATGAGTTAAATTAAAGTTTCCAATTTTAAGATTAAACAAAAAAAAAAAACTAGTTAAAAACTTCAAATATCTATCAATTATAAAATAAAAAAAAATTAACTAAATATTTGTTTATGTGCAACCTACCAAGGTAGTCATCAGTTATGGTTCATTATTACGGGGATGATTTTTTTTTAGCTAAAAAATATTAAATTAAGCAAAGATCTTTCTTATAGCTACCACACCCTATTACATATGGTAGTAAAAAATAACTTTTTAATCACAAAAAATTATAAATAGCAAAGCCTAGCCAAACAGGCTCTTAGTAGAACTGGAGAGTATGCTAACTGATCATCATTTTGAAAGAGGAAATTACAAAGAGATTAAAAAAAAATTATGCAAAAAACATGATAAAGGGGGAAAACTAATGACTTGAAGCTTAGTTGATTATGGATGCCTAAGTAAAAGTTGACTTCTTTGGTTTAACTTCACTAAGAAAAGGATAAGAATTTTGATCTATATTTCAAGATAAAAATTTTAAATTTTTCGTGATTCTTTTAAAATATGGGTCCTATGATGCCAGAATAACTTGAGTAAACTCAAGAAAATTCTCAAGAATGATGCTTAGTATACCATGTTGTAATAAATATAAATTAAATGGTAGAGATATAACTCCACAATAGTTATGAGAAACTCGCCTAAAGTTAGTTTTATAATGCATAGTTATCAATACCTATCTAAACTAATATAAATTTTTCTTCTTCATGTAAATCTATTTTTGCAACCTATTTTTACTAACCCTTTTAATAGCTTCAAAAATAATGTTGTTTAGACAAATCTAAATAAGCTAATTTTTATAGATGAAAATGGAGTTTATTGTACCAATTAAGCAATGACCAAATGAGAATTTTTGATACTATATAATAAGTTTATAAATTTTTTACTTTATTGTCTAGATCCTTACTTCAAAGGTCCTCCACTATATGTTGGCATAAGCTTATTGCTTAGATCATCTCCAGTTGAACGTCTAACCCTCATTTGACGTTTGTCTTTTGCTCCAGCCAATCAGCAAAAGTAATGCCATTCGTGTGAGGGTGAACAGTGCGACGTCAATATTGTGGTCGCAATGTTCACACACTATTTTTTTTTAATCCGAAAATTAGGTTAAATAAAGAATGAGAAAGAACATATACATAATATTCTTTTTTTGGTTTTAGAAAATGAAGTTTGGTTGGAGACAAGTTACAACATTTTAGAGTATTACTGTATTTTGAAGTAAAAATTGAGTTTTTTTTTAATGAAGATGACTCTCATCATATGCAACATTTAGTAGCTCCAACTACTCTATTGACACATAGATGGATAGCTGTATTGAATTTTGAAATTATTAATCATTAGTGTGAACATGCAAATTTTATCTTATAAAATAGTCATTAGTTGGTAGTTGGCTTTAGTTTAATTGGTTTTAGAGAAGGACGATATTTACTTAAAATAGTCTAATCATTGATTGAGTATTTAATTGGATTTTCTTAATAGTTCTTAATGACTGACCAAGTGCGGTTCATGGACTCAACAGTTGATTGGTTTGACAATTTCTTCCCATTCTTTGTCAAGTATTTTTTTTTTTAATCCTAATTTCGAACCGGTCAAGGACAAGTTCCATCATTTGAATTATTGCGGGCTAGAATATACGCGGCGATAGAGTTAGTGAATTTCCGTCCGAGCGTTGTATGAATATTCAGCACACAAACAAAAAAGGAAAATAAACACCATGATTTTTATGTGGAAAACCCTAAAAAGGGAAAAAACCACGGGGCCTCGCCCAGTTGAAATGATTCCACTAGTATTTTGTTTGAGATACAAGAAATTGATTCGTCCACCAAGTTAAGACGATCAGATTACAATTAATTTCTCCTGAATTGATATTCAATTACAAAGTTCTGCAGAGTTCCGGCGTCACCCGAATGTCCGGCAGAATTCCGGTGTTATTCAGGCGGCGGGAAGAATTCTGGTTGTGGTCGAGGAGGAGCTATTTCTCCCTCTCCTTCTCTCCTTCTTCTCTTCTTCTTGCTTGGGTCCCCTCTCATAAGAAATGTTGGGTCTATTTATAGATTTCCTGGAGTGGCATAGCTTGTTAGAAATTTTAATGTTTGATTTGATTGTTATGAAATTTTACCTAAATATCCACATTCTCAACATAAACGGGACTCAAATTTAATTTTGGAGATAAGTTGGAGATCTAAGAAACTTTAGAGTTCTATCTAACATTTAACACAACTAATCACTGCCAACCGTCAATGTTGCTTGGCTACTATTGTTTCACCACATCAGTTGATTGCCATAATTTGACTACTATCATCCGACCATCATTGTTTAAAAACCGTTGCTCGACCATTACAATACACTCATCGTCATCCGACCACCATTGTCTAATTGTCACTACTTGATTATCACCCAACTATCGTTATATGGCCATCGACCTTCGATCATCATTGTTCGACTAACACCAAATGTTATATCTCCATTATTCTCCCTCGCATTTGAGAATCATAAAGCCTGCATTACATATTTTGTAATCTTCTCTTCTCCAAAAAGTTAGAGCATAAAATTTCTCTTTCTATCATTATGAATTTTTTAGCATGCAATAATTCAACACCATATATATGTGAAAAAGATATACTAACATCCCAACAACTCCATTTCATTGACTGATTGGAGTGATACCGTTGGATTTACTTACTCCAAATGTCATCAAACTTGGAATCTAGAAAGAATGGCCCCTGAGACTCAATCTTAGAGAATCATATATGCTAAAAAATAGTACCGTCACAAAATAATGGAGTTCACTTGACAAAAAATCAACAATAATATGAGGTTAGACAAATTGAAGATGCTTGTGAAGGGCATCTTCATGATCATATTGATGTTCCTCTTCCACCGTAGCCTAACTCAGATTTGATAACATTGTTAGTTTAACTCATCCTTCTTATGACATTCGATCAATTCAAAATCATCCACCAACTTTGGTGGACATAACCCAACCTTGAATTATGGATGTCCTCGCAATAGTATATTAGGGGTGTCAATATATGACACGTCTCAAAAATCTGACATGTATCAGACCAAAAAATTTTAGGTTCGAGTCAACCTGTTTAATAAATGGGTTAGGATCGGGTTTAATTTTTTGACCAGATAGAAATATCGGGTCGGGATCCGGTTAACCCACTAATCTGAATGCAATTTGTCTGACCCATTGATCGTCTGCATCTCCCGATGTAGCACTTGTTGTTGGCGCTCGCCCTCGTTCCACCTGCTAGTCTTCTCCCCCCACTCTCGCTCAAGCTAGCTTGTTGCACTCAATTGGGTTAGCAGGTAGGGTTGGGTTTAGATTTTTATCCTGTTTGGACAAACGGGTCAGGTTCGAGTTGAACGTGTTAAGAGGGGGTTAATTTTAAGTTTGACCTGAACTCGACCCAAAACCTATTTTGACACCCCCTATATAAAATAAGATAAGTTTTGATGTCTTATTCAAGATAAATCTCTATGAGAGATAAGAATTATCTAACTTCTTAATGCAACTTCTAGGAGACTTCTCCCCTAGCAAGTCTGAATTAATTTAACATTCTTTCTCATTTTTGCATAAAAAAATGTATGTAATTATAATCCCATCTTCTCTAATTGTGGAGAAAAGTGGGCTAATGTAATTAATGTTCATAGTGGATCTTTTATTCTAGGTCAATCCCCATAATATTTTTCTTTTTATAAGTTTTTCGTGCAAAAAATTATGGCATTCATTGCTTTCTTTTTCATATGTGCCTACATTGAATTTTTGTGAAAACTACGTTATAAAAATTCTCTCTCTATTATAAACTTTTTGGCATGCAACAGTCCTAAAATTTATGATGTATTATTACATTGAGTTCATGTAAAATGCAATATTTGATTCTATATGAATTATTAAAAAAAATTACATAAGAATATCCTTTAAATTTACATTAAGAATAATGAAGTTCACGATGTCATATCTAATAAACTCATAATAAGGTTTCATTTGATATTGCTTTCTTATTATTTTTTAAAATATTTTTTTAATATAAAAATCTTTTAAAAAATTAATAAAAAATTATCCCAAATAAAATCTAACTCTAATACTTATTCTAATATAAATTACATCAAAATATCCTAATCAGAATTTGTTCTAAGGAATTATCAAATTTTATCTGTTTTTCTTTATATCATTTAATGTTAATTTCATAGAGAGAGAGGGGGGAAAACATAACAGTTCTCTTTATCTAAATGCCATAATATCTTGTATTTTCCCTATAATATTTTCTTTTATGGATCTGCGCCCATTAAGTTCCTGCAGGCTGTTGCCACTACGCCTCAATCTGGAGTAGCCCAAAACTTGTTTGTCCTACTAACTCAACTAATTTGCAAGCTGGATCCCTGCATGGCCATTGATGGCTATCTCAAGAACTTGTTTAATGAATGACATTAATTTTTTTATTATTATTATCATACGAAATATCTAATAAAGTGTAAAATAACATTAAAAAATAGCTTGGTAAAACCGTAAAAGTAGTATAAATTCTAGGTTTTTTTCTCATAATTTAGTCCTCAATTATTTTTACATCATGATTTTTTTTTTAGGATGGCCGTTCGTGTGCTTTTTTTTTAATCAAAATTTATCTGTAAATGACATCTGATATTTATTACAAGTAAATAAATTTTTAGATAAGATCCTGAGAAATTAGAGTGAGTGGCTCACTCTAAATTCTCAGGTTCTTATCATTATCATTTATGAACATATTTATTACGAGCAAATTCATACACATATTATATATTTAAATTTCAATCTTATGATCTCTTAATTGATAGCCTAAGCTCCTATCAAAATCAAAATAGGCTACATCCAGCATTCTTAATATCCAATGAAAATTTTATAATCAAATTAACATTAAAATTGATTAAAAATAAGTGTTAAGTGAAAATTTTGTAAAGAAACGGTCATCTGCAACAACTATTCCTCCGCGTTTCCACGAGCAAGCAGGCGCCAGCCAAGCCGTTGACACTATAAATGACGAACCTTCACGGCATTACCCAGCGCTGTAGCAGCAACATCAGCTGTTTGACGAAATGCCCACAAGAGATCCACCAACTGCGCCCTAGCTTGATCTTCTATAGCCATCCAGCCTTCATGCCATTCTCTGCATCAACATCACAAGAAAGCTAGAAAATGGCTCCGCAGAAGGCAAACCATTCTCGATCCTCGAGCGTCCCCTCCCTTCCTCATCCCATCGCCATCAAAGCCGAAGAGAAGCTTCGCAACCTCAAAACCTATATCCATGGCGCCGAAGCTTCTTTCTCGACTATATGCACCTTATTAGGAGCCCTCGCGGATCTATTCGACACTCTTCATCTCCTTCTCCACCTGCCTTCTCTCCAGCACCTTCTATCCCAACCGTTACATAAGCCATGGGTCGAAGTGCAGCTCGATTGCTCCCTTCAGCTTCTTGACATTGAATCCCCGGTGAACGACTGCCTCGCGTCAGTGAAATCATTCGTCTTCGACGTGCAATCTGCTCTTCGTCGGAGAGGAGACAATGGTCACGTTAATTCTAGAAAGAAGGCACAGAAGGAAGCCGTAACATGCTCGAAATCGCTGAAGAAAATGGAAGAGGGCTTCGCCATTGCTGCGTTAGTGGAGAAGGAAGGAGATCTTATGATGCTTGATTGGTTCATGAGGGAGGCGAGGGAGACGGCGGTGACTGTTTTCCACTTATTGCTGAATCTGATTGAGATTCCTGCGAGGCGTAAGGATCGGGGTAAGCGGATCTTGCTGGTTCCGAAGGCGATGCAATGGAGGAGAGGTGGATCTGCCGAAGGGAATGGCGGAGTAAGTAAGGTGGTGGGATTGGAATCGATGCTGAACGCTGCTTTTGAGTGTATTTCAGGCAAAGATGAAGGATTCGGGAACCTTAAGAGAAAGGCACATGAAGAAGTCAATCAGATTGGAGCGGGGATTGAAGATTTGGAGATTGGATTGCAGTGCTTATTCAGGCGGATGATTCAGAACAGGGTTGTTCTGCTTAATATGCTCAGTTTTTAGAAATCTTGGAGCCATTATTGATTCTTTTCTTCAATAGAACTGGTTGAAAGCATCTGATACTAGTTGTGATTCTTTGTATTTCTTTGAATTTTATGATTTAGTATTCCCTCTATATGGTCATTGTAGGCTTGAGCTCTGTCAAATTTGAAACTTTTGTGGTATGAATATTAGAAAAACTTTTTCATGTTGATTCTTTCTACAATCAGGTGAACATTGGAAGGATTAGTCCCCTTATTTTGGAGAGATTTCTATGTGAGTCAAGATCAAAAAGTATTTTGTGATTTGAAAACTAAGGAGGACGTTAGTTACTAGGTGTTGGAGATTGTGAAATCTTTTAAGTAAAAGAAGCTAAACTCTTAAACATTGAGGCACATTTTGGTGTAATAGTTAGAATTTTATTAAGAAACTTCACAATTAACCATTCTCATCCAGGAGAAATTCTGAGATGGGTGACCTCATGAAAAGTTACACTAACAAAACAAAATCATGATGTCCTTAGGCCAAAACAAACAATATCTCAATAATAAAGAGTTTTGACTATTACAGGTTAAAACCTCTATTCACCAACTCATAAAGTTGCACCTTCAACTCCTAAAGCTTCTTGGGTGACATCCTATATGGAGCCTTAGAAATCAGAGAGGTACCCAAGAAAGCATCTATGTAAAACTCTATCTTCATATTCGGTGATATAGTCTCTAACCCTTCAAGGAAGACATCCAAAAACTCCTAAACTATAGGACATGAAATAACCTCACATCCCTAACAGATGCTAAAAAAAATGGACTACTTTTACTCCAAAGTCTATCCACCTTCAGAGCATAAATCAAGCATAAGAGAATAGATTTGATTCCCTGAAACACAAAACGTTCACCATTCTGATACATAGTCACTTTCATCTTTAGACAATCGTTCTAAGCCATATGTCGACTCATCTAGTACATACCCAAAAAGACATCAAATGCAGAAATGAGCAATAAATTAAGCCAGATCTCCTAATTCTATAATAAAACTTCAAATCACAAAAAAAAAAAAAAAACTTACTAACTATCATACCATCTCCCATAGGTAAAATCACAGAAAAAAGGCAATGGCACGGTAAGCTGTGGGTCTCTGAAAGGATTCTGCTCATGGGGTTCGAATGCAAAGAGTACGACCACACTATCCCGTAGGACAAAATGGTCGTAGGCCTTTACACTCGACACAAGCAGGCCGATGGAAGAGCAGATGGAGTTATGTATACGATTAGCCATGGAGGATAGCGGCTTTCACCTACCAACCTCGATGGATAATAATATACATAACCCAAAAGTTCATGAGATTTCCCCGGACGAATCAAAATAAGGCATTATTACATCTTCAGTCTTCTTCTTCACTTCCTTGATTCGTCTTTGGATCATCTTCAGTCCTTCGGGCTCCTTGTAGTGAACGCTCCAAAAAGGATGCTCAAATGAAAAAGGAAATCTCCTATAGGGGTTTACTTTTTCCTTTGGACTCCTCGTAATAAATGCCCCAAAAGAATATCCAAATGAAAAAGGAAACTCTCTGTAGGGGTTTACTTTTCCCTTTGGATTCCTATCTCTTTAAAAAATGCCTTATTTTTAGATCTTCACAACAATCACTATTAAATACATTACATTACTGAAAAGAGAAAATCTAGACTCTCCTACAGGGGTTATCCTAAGCAGTTATAATAAAAACTCATCCAAACAGTTATATATATAAATGAAAAGTGCTCAAATCAATCACTTGGCTGTGCTCTAATTATTGGGGGCTAAGCAGCTGAAGTAGGTACCTAAAGCAGTTATAAATGACATTATTAATTTTTGTCCCCTTTTTAGCATTGTACGAGCAGGGCCATCTACAAGAAGACAACATTAGTATGAATAAGCATGCCTAACCTATGGGTATTCTAACGCTCACAACAACAGTGCAGAAAAGAAAAGAGCAGAAAAGCGTCACAGAAAAGCATCACAGAAAAGCTACAACAAGTAGCAAAAACAATCAGCACACAAGTCACATGCAGAGCGTCACAACACAGAGACATAAAAGAAAAAGCATCGGCCTAATCTAAGACTAATAGTCGTGTCCTAGCAAACCAGTCTAAGTGTAGGTCGTGTGGTTTTGGTAAGTCCTATATAGGATAGTTTAATTAAAATTACTTGTATTTTTGTTTGTTGAAAGGGCAAAGGAGATTTTGGTTAAAGTTCAAATTTTAGTATTTTAAGATAGATTTTAGAAATGTTTTGTTTTAGTGTTTGATTAATTACCACCTTTGTTTCACATCGAGGCCGTGAGGTTTATTTCACCCTCTTTGGAGCTAACTTAATAGCCTCATAGGCCTGGGTTACCCAGTGATAATTAACTTTGTTAGATTATTATAATTTGTTATGAAAAGAAAAGAAAAAGGGTGTATTAATCATTTATTAATCAAGTTTGTTAATTGATTTTAAAGATTATTCTAAAGTTTGATATTTAGAAGTATCTTATCCTAATGAATTTTAGCTTAGAGTTTGATCTTCTAATTAAGCCTACTTCTTTTAAATTTTAAGTGGGTTAAAAGTTAATTATTAGATTAGTTATACTTGATTTAGGTTTATGTTTTAGGTTTATAGTTTAAAGATTATAAATGTTAATATTAACTTGATTAAGAATTAAATGTTTAAATAGGTTTTAAAAATTAGATTAAAGTTAGTTGATTGATTATTAGTATATTAAAGAAAATAAAACCTAGAAAAACGTATCACTAAGTTTTTGTTTTAATGTCTCTATCCTATAGGGAGCATGCATCCTAAGTCTATATTTCCTTAGACTCGGTCCTTAATTTTTGTCCTTATATGTCACTAAAGTTGTAGGACTAAAAGTGGTGTTGTTTTCTAACCCTTAAGACTTCTATGCGTATGTCAAAAGGTTTTAGGGATCTAATAAAGTAAAAATAATCCTAATTATAAAAGAAGTTTCTACAAGGTCCTAAGGGTGGGAGGCGCGCAAACATCTAGGCCCCTAAAGGTTTTCTAAGTTTTTAAGAAAGCTTACAGCACCGGGGGCTACGACCCAGTGGTTCCGCCCATAGCGTCCCTACCGGAATGAATAGGGGCGACTGATGCTCGGATCCGGTTGTCTTAGCTCCTTCTCCAAATACTCTAGTGCTCCTTGTCCATTGCTTTCCAAAAAGGTGCCTCGCAAGAAACAAAAAAGAGAAGTATTAGTGCAGTTCTATAAGCAAATAATTATATAAGGAAATGAAAAATGCAATAAAAAAAAGAACGTACCTTTTTTGTCACCGATTGAGCTACTTGTGTTTTGGTTTCTTCTTATTTTGCAAGTGTTTAGTATCAAAGCACAAAAGAAACGACAAAGAACACTAAAAGTAAAGCAAAAGAAAACTAAATGCAAAAGAAAGAAAGAGAACGAAAATCAAATACAAAAAAGGGATGTAGGCATTGTTGTTATTGGGCACACTTCTTTGAAGTCAAGTGTACCCTAAAGCAACATTAACAATGCCCTTTAATGTCCCCACAATCCAAATAAGGCACTTGATATGTTTGACACACCTATCTATAACGCTCTAAACCAAGCCTAAAATAACTAAGGGGGAACAGACTTCTAAAACTCAATTGAAAATTAGATTCTCTTTGTTTCACTATTCGTCTGACATTCTTTTTACTTCAGAAGTGAACACTAAAGGGAGAAAATTCAAATAAGCAAGGACCTTCTTGCTCCCAAAAAGACATTGAAGACTTCCCCTCCCAAAGCTCCCTAATGTTTTAGATCCCCCAAAACTCATCTTATAGAAAGAAACACTAAGGGAATCTAACTCAAATGGGAAAACACTATTTATACCCGAAAGACACTAAAGAACCCTACTAAACAAATCTAACCACAAAATTATAGACCTCAAAATAATTTGCAAGAACTTCTAAATGAACTACTACACAATACATCCCAAAAGTTATCTACCAAAAATCTCTTTTTCTTTTGTTTTAACCCAAAACTCTAAAAAAAAGACTGACAATCAAGTGCCTCCTCTCATTTGGAGTGGGATAAATTTGTGAAAATTTCTCAAAGGGATAGACATTATAGAGCCCTCCTTCAGGAAACCCTCACAAAATAAAACAACAAAAATCTAAACATAAGAAGATTCACATAACTTACTCTTAAAGCAATTCGGAAGCTCAAAATGGTGGAAAACTGCATATATTTCATTCATACAACAATCCGGAAACTTAAAACTGCAAAAATCTACACTTATCTCGCTCCCAAAATAATTTGGAAACTCAAACACTGCAAAAATCTGCAACCATCTCGCTCCCAAGACAATTTGGAAACTCATAACTACAAAAATCTGCACTTTTCTTAAAAACAAACTGCACTTACCATGCTTCCCAATGCGATTTGGACGCTAAACAATAAAAAAAAAAAATTGCATTTTGGTCAAGGACAATAAAGCTTTATCTCATACATATGAGACCTTTCCTTAAACAACACATAGAAGGGTATAATTTATCTATAAACATGCTCTTTTATAAGTTCTATATATAGCCAATGATTGCAACAAATGAGAACACCGTACATGTTTAAGGAAAGGTAAACATGCTCCAATAAACTCCAAACTCGATCCCAAAGCACATTTTTTTCTCAATATTTTAGTAGAGTATGAACCAAATGTAACTAGATATAGTAACCAATATCTTTCCAAATCGCATATCATCCAACGATTAAATAACCACTAAGTGATAAACATGAGATTTTCCACCAACTAGTAAACAAGTGATACAACCAAGCCAAGCCACAAGGCTTTGCATGAGTGATTCACAAATAAAAATGAAAACATAAGAAATACAACCTTTCCAAAGTATTTAATCAAATGACTAGTGTACCAAATTTAAGAAGTAATGTAAAGCAATCCTTTTTTTAGATATATTTCCCTGTCATATCTAAGCCCTTTAAACCACATGCTATGGATCCCAAAAGTAAAGTGCACGTATCAATTATTCCCTTCAAAATAAGACAAGCTAATGAATATTTTAGCAAACTCAACAATAACCTTCGGCATCTACCAGAGAGGGTTGAAACATTTCTTGATAACCAAGGAGATGTAGCAAAATTAGTCAACAAGAGATAATAGTAAATGCGCCCTCTAATTTATGACAAAGATCAAAACCATTTCGATCACCTCCCCTTTGA